CTGTTATAGAGCACAAGGTTGGAGCTTGGCAATCATTCAGTCTCTTCTTCTTTCTTGAACGGAAGGCCTAAGTTTGTTTTAAAGTCAGCTGGCACGTGGGGTTTAAAATATGTGCTGTACATATTTCCTCCTCTCCTACCTAGTATGCCAGGTTCTTGTTTACAGTGACTGTTTTGATTACCCCCAACACAGAGTGTCGCTGAGGAAGATCGACCACATTCTTTTCTGGTAGCCAGATCAAAATGTCAGAAATAAGCACCTCCATGGAATTGCCTAGATGCCTAATGGATGCAACCCAGTGGAATGGCGTTGTTCTGAATGAGTACTGAATCCCCACTGGACTGTCATGTTATAGCAGGTCTCCCTGACCTCTTTGAGCCTATGGGCACGTTTGGAATTCTGACACGGCTTGGTGGGCACAGCCACAAAAATGGCTGCTGCAAAATGGCGGCTGCAGGAGGCAGAGCCTGCCACAAAATGGCTGCTGCATCTTCCCTTCAGTCACACAGTGAAAATCCTTATGCTGTGATGGCAGCTGCTGCCAAAGCACCATTTTTAAAAATCTGTACCACCAATCAATTCTCCAGTGACCAATCAGAAGCCTTGATGGCCAACAGCCCCACCTGGCCCCACTCACTTGCTAGAAACACGTGGCAGGCACCGGGAAATGTGTCAGCAGGTCCAGTGGCACCCACGGGCAGAAGGTTGGGGACTCATGCATTATAATATAAGAAGCAAAACATTCACAGCATTACAGGCAGTGAGATGGCTTGTCCAGTGTCGATGGCTATGTTTACCTTAAGTAGATGATTTAGAGCTAACAACTCTGATGTAGAAGCCAATGAAAACCGTACAGAAAACCCTACAGAACAGTCAGATTCAGTCTGTGTAAGACCCCTGTTGTACATTGTGGAAGCTGGTTGCGTTTGGCTGCTTCCATTATCTGCCGGAAGTAACTGTAGAGATCTGATGCGGTTGCTGTACAGATCTGATATGGTTGCTTTGCATGCCAAGGTGCCCTGCCCCTGGGGATCAGTGTCTTTGGCATAGAAAGTAATCCTGTCTCTAGCCTAGCCCATGAGTCTGCATGGTTGAGCACTATTGGCTTGGGAATAGCGCCCAGAATTGCTCCTGCGATGCTTGGATAGCATACAAAACCATTCTTCCTCTTCTTCCCCCACCCCACAATTTACTTAAAGAACCTGAAGTTTCTGGATTCTGCTGGGTGATTTCAGTGCCCTGTTGTGACCGTCAAAGCCAATAAAACCTTTCAGACCGGCTAATGATGGAGACCTACACAGCTTCTCTTGATAGCCCGTCTCCCTCCCCAGGGATCTGAGTGGGTTAAAAACAACCCGATACCTACGCAAAGTGGTTTTTCTGCCCTTGGAGGGGAGCGTTGTGAGTTTTCAGCCTGCTTCGGCGGGTTGGCATGCAGACATTTGCATATGGCAATGCTTTATCTCCCGGCTACCTGAAGCTTCACCTGCCAATTCCTGCACACCCCAGCTGCCGTTGAAAGGCACAAACTTTGTTACTGCCCAGTTTCAGCCTTGTTCAAAGGGCAGAATTGGCAGTTGTCAGCCTCTGTGTTCCACTGGTCACTTTCAGCGTTCCAAAGAGAGAGGGATACTACTGCCGCTTACACCCTTTCTTTCCCCTACAGGTGTCGGTGAGGAGGGCTGGTGGGGCAAGATGTGCTGTGACCGTATACTTTCCCCACTGCTTCTGTTTTGTATTTTTTAAACAAATGGGTGGCGTAATCTTTGGTTGACCGCTAGCAACCCTGCTGAGAACTCATGGTCAAAGACGGGGAAAGGAATGAAAAATGCACATGCGTGAATCTGCCTTTTTTTTTCTGAACCAGGAGGGGGAAACACTGCAATAGGATGCTAACTTTTTGGTAATTTTTGTAATTGTCCGAGCATCAGGATGCTCCCCCCCCCACCAGCCAGCCACCCACTGGGCCATATCCGGGGGCCTCTCAGCCTCACACTCACCTGTGGCCCTGCAGGGGTTGAAGAAGCAACAAAGGCAAGCTGCAGGTCTCCCAAAGGCCGCCAGCGGTCCCCACTGCCGTCCCTGAGCAGCGCACCCCTTGGCGCGCTTCCTCGGAGGAACACGGAGCCAACTGCACCGAGAGCTGGCTGGGCGGCGAGTGCCCGCCCCCATGTCTGAGGCAGCCTCCCCAGCCCCTGTGAGCCAGCAAGTCCCCAGTGCGTCAGGGAAGGAGCAGGAGGGCCGAGGGTGGAGATGCCACCCTGCAGCTGCGCTCAGCATCTCCGTCTAAAAGGAGGGGAGGAGCTAAGGGAGGGAGGCATGGGGAGGAGCCAGCGAGAAAGGGCCAGGGATAGAGGGGGCTATAAGGGGGAGGTTTGCCAAGGGTCGGGGAGGACTGCCCTGGACTGTTCTCTGCCGCACACCGGAGAGAGCGGCTGCAGAATCCAGGTGGAACGAGGCTGAAGGGTGGTGGCGTAACCCCTTCCCCATCCAGGGGCTATAAGGGGGAGGTTTGCCAAGGGTCGAGGAGGACTGCCCTGGAGTGTTCTCTGCCGCACACCAGAGAGAGCTGCAGAATCCAGGTGGAACGAGGCTGACGGGTGGTGGCGTAACCCCTTCCCCATCCATCAGACTGGGACCCAGACAAAACCCCTGCCTAAAGGGAGGGAAAGGTAGAGGAGAACGAGGCGGCCATGGGGTCCAGCGGGGAGCAAGAGGAGGGGCCAGACAACTCTTGGGACACTAATTTATTGCAATAATATATTTTTTACAATATTTAGACATAGATAGGTTTATCATGTGTACAATAAAGTAATATAAGTTGATACAAAGAACAAGGGGAATCCAATCACTCAAGGACTTAAACAAAAACCATCAATTGGTATAAGTCCTCTTATTCATAGAAGAATCATCAGCATCAGTCAACAATCAACATGAGCCCTCAAATCAACATGAGTGATCAAAGTCACACGAGGATCCCGGGTTATCACTTGTTTCGATAAGTGAGACAAACGGTTGTTTTGCAATAATGTAAAAGGTCTTCTCCAAGTTGTATAATATACCATCAAAGGTGACATTCAATCCACTGAATGGCTATATTGTACAGTTTATATATGGGCACCATCAACATTTCAATAAATAATTCAGTCAGAACTTTCTGCCATTGGTATAGCCTCCCATTGGTCCATCAAGGTCAGCGTTGTCCACTCAGACTGGCAGTGGCTCTCCAGGGAACTAGGTAGGGATCTTTCATCTCGCCTACTTCCTGGTCCCTTTAAGTGGAGATGCCAGGGACTGTACCTGGGAACTTCTGTGTGCCAAGCAGGTGCTGTACCACTGAGCCATGTTCCCCCCCCAAAAGGCTGATATACATGAGTATATCTGAGTTGATGCAGACTTCATCCTCCAGTCCTGGGGATTGGATCTGTCAGAGCCTTGGAAGCCTTGCCCCTCTCATGGCAGCCCACTGATCTCCATGAAATGCTGCTGCTCCCGAGGACAGGAGACCCCGGGGGAATGACATTAAGGGGCTCTGCAGCAGGAAGTCACAATTGGTGGCAGTTGCCAGTTTAGTCTAGAGCCAACCCAGGCCAATGTTTTAGAAAGCAAGGGTGGAGAAATGGATAAGAAATGTACGACATAAAAGAATGCCAATGAAATATAATGCTGCAGGTTTTTTTAATGTATGAGTCAATAGTAAAGAGGATAAATTTAGAGTCCAGTGGCACCTTTAAGACCAACAAAGGCTTATTCAAGGTATGAGCTTTCGTGTGTTACTGGACTCTAAACTTGTTCTACTGCTTCAGACCAACACGGCTGACCGTCTGGATCTATAGTAAACAGGATAGTGGACTAAGGCTAGTATCTTTTTCTTTTGAAGGACTCATTCATTGCTTGTGAGATGCTCTTATTTTTTTTCACTTGTGTTGCAATCTTGTGTGTGTACGTGTGTGTGTTGGTCCTGCGCCATCAAGTTGTTTATATTTATTTATTTTATTTATTCGGGTATTTCTACCCCGCCAACGGGCTCAGGGCGGCTTACAGAGGCCTAAGCCATACATAAAATTCAATAAAATTCAATAAAATCGCAATCACAACCAATACATAACATTAATAATAAAAGTGTGCTATAATTCCAAGATGGTCTACAGTTGGTGCCCATAAGGAATACTCCCTGTCGACATTGGTTATAATAGTCGTTCCCGTTAATCGGCTGATCTTGCTGCCGTATAGTTCATATAATTCACCTCGTCGCCAGGCTTCACGGGCACTCCAGTTGTAGCTGACGTATGGCAACCCCGTAGGGTTTTCAGGGCAAGAGGCTACCAGAAGTGGTTTGCCACGGCCTTCCTCAGTGTAGCTTACACGCCTCCATTTCTCCAAGCTTACTTCCTGCATAGACCCAGGCTGCTGGTTTGGTAGCTGGTATATACTGCAGTGGCTCAGAGGTTAAGACGCTGAGCTGCAGGCCGGAAGGTCTGTAGTTCGGCCGTTCGAGACCCGAGTGTTGCGGGACAGAGTGAGCTCCCGTCTCTGGCCCCAGCTCCTGCCAACCTGTCAGTTCGAAAGCAAGAAATTGCAAGTAGATAAAAAAGTACCGCTTCGGTGGGAAGGTAACAGCGTTCTGTGCACCTTGGGGTTTAGTCATGCCAGCCACATGACCACGGAAACGTCTCTGGACAGCGCTGGCCCTTTGGCTTGGAAACGGAGATGAGCACCGCCCCCTAGAGTCAGATTCGACTGGCTTTCGAGCAAGGGAAACCTTTACCTATATACTGATTAGCACGCATCATTTATTTATTTATTGCAGTTACTCCCCTTAAGGTCTTGGCTTTGTCAGACGTTGCTTTATGGATCGTCTTCCCCGCTTCTCCCATGCGTGCGTGTTTGGGAAGGGTGGGGGCAGCAGATACGACGCTGTGCCACTTTAAGGAAGGATGTGAAGAAGCAACTTTTCGAGACAAGTCATACATTTCTTTTAATCTCTTCCTTGGTTTCAGAACGCCACTGGGAGCCTCTCTGGACGAGCAGAGCAGCCTTACTTTAAAGGGTAAGAATCTAATGGTTAAGCAGTTTTCTTCTCTCTCTCTCTCTCTCTCTCTCTCTCTCTCTCTCTCTCTCTCTCTCTCTCTTCCTCTCTCTCTCTCTCTCTCTCTGGAGGCGGTATTAATTGGAAATAATAATGCAAGCGTGGTTAAACAGGCTGCTGGTGAAAGTTGCTGGGAGCACCTTGTTTTCTCTGAAAAGGCTGTATAGGGGATTTTAGTGGTTCAGGGAAAGAACTGCAAGGTTTGTGTGGGGCGTGAGAAAGAAATTTTGTCAAGTGCATGCGCAGAGAAGTAGGTCAGCTCTTTTCGGTACAGTCTTCCTTGGCTCGCTCTGACTGAACTTGCCACGCCCGAAAAGTTACCACCTGCACCAACCAGAATGCAAAAGTTCAAAGTACAACAAGAATCTGCAGGTAGCGACAAGGAGTATAAGAGGCCCTTGCGGTTGCTAGAGCGCCCTTTTATTTCCCAATGCACGGAGACAAGAGGGGATGTCTGATCCCGGTTGCCTTGCAGGTTCCAAGATCTCCGGTAAGGTTCCCGAAGTGCGTCTACGGATGCCGTCTTTGTGTTGCTGTTGCATGCGCATGCCGTGCAGTGTAGCCTCTGCTCTGTTCTCGATAGATGACAGGACAGTTTTCCCTGGCAGGGAGGCTTTGAAAGAGCTGCTGTGGAGGTCACCAGCGTTCCTTCCTCTGTCCTTAAGATCTGCATTCTGAAGAGCAGTATCTGTCTGCTTCAGGCTCCCTGGAAGGGGGGTCTCCAGCCCAAAAAGAAATGGGGAGGGAAGCATTGTTGAAATAGTTTTGTTTTGTGTCATATTTGGGTTTTCTTTTTTCCCCAGTTTGCAATCCTGATTACTGAAATGTAGGCATTGGGGCTCGACACTGAACTTGCTGGATTTTACATCTCTCCCCCCCCCCCTCTTTTCAAAGGCATGCTGGTGAGAAATGGAGGAAGTTTTGAAGATGACTTATCCCTGGGAGCTGAAGGTGGGTGTGGCCGTAACACGTGATTGTTCTTGTGGTCAAAAGCTGCTTAATGTCAAACGGAAGAAGACGGCGTTCTTGGACTAGTGGGGCTTTGCTGGTTGATAAATGGGGGTTGGAGACGGGAGGCAGAGCTCGGAGTTCGAAATGAGACTTCTGTGTTAATTGCAGGGTGACTCAGTGAAGCGTAGCCATTCCATTGTACGTGTGCTTTGTTGTCTTTTTGGGAAAAGGACCGTGATTCATGTTTCCACATGAAAAAAGAGGGTTTTAAAAAAAGTTATATTATAAAAACAGTTGAAAACAGTTCTGTCTGGGGCTTAATTTGAAAGAGAGCTTTGCTTTGGAACGGGCTTTGTTGCTAGGGATCAGCCATGGAATATGTGAAGTAAGAGGGTGCCTTTGAGCAGGTGCGGAGTGCCTTCCCTTTGTTCTGGAGCAACCATGGCCAGCCTCCACACGTCCGGGACTTCAAGCAGATGGCAGGGAAATGAGATAATTTCACACCCGAGGCTGCAGGGCTGCATTAGACTTGGGGCTTTGCCCGATTTCCTCCGCAGTTTCATGATCCTCAAAAACCAGGATCACGAAACTGCGGAGGAAATTGGGCGAAGCCCCAAGTCAAAATGCAGCCCCGGAGCTTCGGGTGTGAAATTGACATGTTTGTGTCGGGGCAAACGGCGCTGTGCTGCGAGGCAGCTCTAGTGAGAAATGGCCCAAGGATTTTAGCAGCAGATGCTGGACATTGAATTGGAGACTTTCCGTGTATGAAGCCAGATACTCTGCCCCTGAGCCATGGCCTCTCTCCCAAAATAGTGGCTTTCTAGGGCCTTGCACATTGTCTGCTAACTAATCCTTTTAACTAGAGACGTGGGGGGATTGGACCTGGGGACTTTTGGGTACAATGCAGGTGCAGTGGCACTGAGCCACGGCCCCATCCTCAAGTCAAGCCAACGTCCGAGCCTCAATTTCTCACCCCGCAGATGTGAACAGCTGCAGGATAGTTAGCTTTCAAGTAGTGGTTCCTACCACGTTGAAACATTGCTTACCCGCCATGAGGCGTACCAAAATCCTGTTAAATCTTTTAATAAAGTAGTATGGTAGGAGCCACTAGAGAAAACAGTTTTCCTGCTCTTCACACCCATGGGAAGATGAGGCACCTGGCTCTAGAGGAGTAACCCTGTGTTAAACCTTTCCAGTGGAGTCTAAAAGCATCCCTCTGTTGACAGTGGGCTTTATTTGAGGGTACGCAGTCAAGACAGAATGTTCTGGAGCCACAGGACTTAGCAGTTCTGCTGAAGCTAAGTTGCCCTGGGTCTGGTCGTCAGTGCCCGGGTGAGAGACCGCTGGGCAACACTAGAGATGCCACTTTGGCATCCATGAAGGAAAGGTGGGATATAAAGGTGAAGATACTGTTTATGTCTCACCACTTCAAGATTTTGGGGGCGTAAGCCTTTGAGAGTCAAAACTTCCTTTGACAGATCTGATGATGGGTGCTTTGACTCCCAAAAACTTTTACCCCGAAAATCTTATTGGTCTCTAAGGAGCTACAGGACTCAAAACTAGCTCTGCCACTGCAGATCAACATGGCTACGTTCTGAAACTTTCTTAGTCCAGTAATTAAAAGTCCAGTAGGATCAACCAATATAGATGACCTGAACGAAAGAGGCTGCCCATTGTCTTCAGGGAGATAGATCAAGAAGGGTAGCCGTGTTTGTCTGTAGCAGTAGAAAAGAGCAAGAGTCCAGAAGCACCTTAAAGACTAACAAAATTTGTGGCAGCGGGTGAGCTTTCGTGAGTCACTGCTCACTTCTTTTTTAAATTTAATAACTTTTATTAAATAAATACAAAACAATTGAGACAGAGAAACCCAAACAATACAATCTATTTAAAATTAATAATATTCTTGATATTCTAATCAGTATATCTATCTACAACTTAACTATTTAAAACTCTTACCATGTTTTCTGGTAATACAGTTGGGTTAGCAACCATCTTGTATAAATGTAAGAATTTGAGTTCAACCGGCTTTATTGATCAAAATTAAAACATACTCTAAATCTGGGGTTTATAGAACAAACAACCAATATAGATGACCTGAACGAAAGAGGCTGCCCATTGTCTTCAGGGAGATAGATCAAGAAGGGTAGCCGTGTTTGTCTGTAGCAGTAGAAAAGAGCAAGAGTCCAGAAGCACCTTAAAGACTAACAAAATTTGTGGCAGCGGGTGAGCTTTCGTGAGTCACTGCTCACTTCTTTTTTAAATTTAATAACTTTTATTAAATAAATACAAAACAATTGAGACAGAGAAACCCAAACAATACAATCTATTTAAAATTAATAATATTCTTGATATTCTAATCAGTATATCTATCTACAACTTAACTATTTAAAACTCTTACCATGTTTTCTGGTAATACAGTTGGGTTAGCAACCATCTTGTATAAATGTAAGAATTTGAGTTCAACCGGCTAGTATTTATTGATCAAAATTAAAACATACTCTAAATCTGGGGTTTATAGAACAAACACTTCAGATGAAACTAAATAATCAGGAATAATTCTATTCTGTGCCGTGTAATTTATTGGAAACCATTTTTCAACAAAAGTTGATTGAGAGATCTGAAGAAGTGAGCAGTGACTCACAAAAGCTCCTCCCCTGCCACATATTTTGTTGGTCTTTAAGGGGCTACTGGACTCTTGCCATTGTCTTAATGGCGAAACTGAGATTCAAAGCAGGGACCATCTCCACCGGTGGCCATATCTTATACTTCTTCTCAGATTATTGGGCCAGCATGAAACTGATTTAGGTGAATGGAGAGGACCAAGCATTTGGACCATTTAGGTGAGTGGAGAGGACCAAGCTGCTGGATAACTGCCATGTCTTCTGTTGCTATTAATACGGAACAGCTTTCATGCCAGCCTAGAGCTTTTGGGTATTGCTAGCTTAAGCAAAAGCAGGTGTAGCCAGATATGTTTTTACAGCAGGTAGTGGAGCAGCAAGGGGGGTTAGGGTCTACGGCAAGATAATGGTGGGCAATTGGACTGGAGACACCTGGCTGATCGACCTACCCATTTGTCTTGGGTTCTAAGATGTTTATGACAACAGAAACTGAAGCTGCTGTTCTCTGTCTTTCATGGGATACAAAGTGGAATACCATCTCTCCTATGTTTTGTCAGCTCTTGTTGACATGCCTCCAAGGTAGCAGGATCAGGGCTTTGACTGGAGGTGCAATCATTATTGCTGAAAAATTCAGAATGGCAGAGGAGAACAAAATCTGTTTACCAACATTTGTGTTGATCTAAACATACACACAGAGAGAGACATATTGCCTTTTCTTGTACATAATTTTACAAAATCAGTAATATATGGGGTAAAACAGTTTTCCTGTAACAGATAATTCAACTTAGGTTTACTTTTAGAGTTCAGGTTTACTTTTACTTACAATTTACTTTTTGTATTGCTATCCAACTGTATCCATCTTTGAGTAAAATGAAAGTTGTACCAGTTGAAAACATAATATTACAGTGCCCATTGTATGAAGGTATGGGGATTTTTGACTACCCCTCTATTTCTTTGTAAAGATTAGTCTGCCGCAGGTATTATTTGCTGTCTTTTATCAGCATGCATTTGAAAAGCAGCTCTTTTGGCACAGAGAGTGTAAAAAAGATCAGGCCAAGATTGAGACAGTTTGGCGTTTGTGTGGGTGATTGTATAGGTGTTGTGCTTTATTGTGAAATGTGTTTTGTTAATCTTCCCCATTACCAGGTGCAGTTGGTGTCTTGTTGTAATATACAGTAAAAGTGACTTGACTGTGAAAGAAATAGGCGTTGAAGCGGCATTCACAAAGGAGTCTAGGAGATGAGGATTAAATTTAATGCCAGCATTTGGAGAGGAATATATGGCCTGTCTTGAAGTCTGCCAAGGCTCACTTACAAGACCTGCTATCTAAGTTATTGTTTTAAGCCAGTGGCTTCTGGAATATTCAGTATATGTTTCCTATCGTGGAGTCAGACCTGTAGACCACGAAGTCTGGCTGGGGATGGTTTACCTTTACAGAGCCTTGAAGAACAGCATGACTCATATTCTTTAGTAGCGATGAACTTGGTACATCTTCTTTGCTCCCTTTCGTTCTGTTGCTTACTTAATTAGTCTGGTCATTCACCACTTTTCTCCCTTAGGGTAACCAGAGCAGCTTAACAACATTCACAAATACAATTAAAACAAACAGAACATAACCAGCTGTAGCTTGGGCTGCTCTTGAATCCAGTGGTCCAGTTCGTTTAAGGTTATGAGCCACAGGCTAAGGGCCCAAGAGAGCCCTCTGGCTCACACCCAAGGACTTGTGCCCCTGCCCGTGCCCAAGTCGATATATTCCTGGACTGCCTGGTGCCAGATATACCTTCTGCTGGGTTCAAGGCTTACTTAAAAAGAGGTCTCTGGCCTTGGCCTAATCCTGGATCTGTATTGGTCCTGGTCAGGCTGCGGGTTTCTCTGGAGGCCCTGTTTGAGGAGAGACCACGATGGTGACAATGAACACATGTCCCATGAACGGCGACAATGCCACCATGCATCATGTCTTCGAAAAGCTAGTTTTGTGTGTCCTACTTCAAACGGTTCTCTCAGCCTCATGTGTGACGTACGGACATTTTTGCAAAGAGGAGGGGGCAGGAGTGATAGCTGCATAGGGTAAATCTAAGCTGTACAGGTGGTTGGTATTCAGAGCAACTGTGCTCCTTGGTAGAATAGACTCAGCACTGCGTTCGTCCCTGGCATTGGCTGTTCATTTGTCTTACCTCACAAATAAGGGCTTCTGAAGTTCTGGCCCTGCTTGGTGTTGTCCCTGGCATTGGCTGTTCATTCCAGTTGCCCTGTCTTACCTCACAAATAATGGCTTCTGAAGTTCTGGCCCTGCTTGGTGGACCTCCTGATGGCACCTGGGTTTTGGCCCCTGTGTGACACAGAGTGCTGGACTGGATGGGCCACTGGCCTGATCCAGCATGGCTTCTCTTACGTTCTTATGTCTGGGGCAGTGATGCTCTGTCTTCTAGGTGCTGGGGGGGTAAGAGTGGGAGGGCTTCTGGAGTTCTGGCCCTGCTAGTGGACCTCCTGATGGCCCCTGGGCTTTGGCCGCTGTGTGACACAGAATGTTGGACTGGATGGGCCACTGGCCTGATCCAACATGGCTTCTCTTATGTCCTTAAGGGACGTGGTGATTGTCTTTTAGCAGAGAATTGTGGGAGGACAGTCCCCTGGTCATGACGCCAGACTCTTTCTCCTTGGATATCGGTGTTCCTCATCTTCACCCCAGAAAAAGCTTCCTACGCAAGCCGCGTGTCCTTAAGCCTAATCCAATATTGTACGAAGTTGGCTGTATGTGCTACACGAGTTTATAGCCCCAGCGAGCAAGCTGGAAGGAACTGCCCTGTTTATTATTGGATCAAGTGGTTGCTATTTGTTCACAGTTATTTATATTACAGTGCAGGAAATTTATACGTATTGTTTCCCTTTTCAGCTAATCAGCTGCACCAAGGTGGTGAACAAATGGAAATCTGGTAAATAACCTCATTTCTGGTTTGGGAATAATGGCTGGCCATTGTCTGCAAGACATTCATTTCTCTAAAGTGTCCTTATTGGGGCCATTCGTTTAGAAAAAGGGAGGGGGGAAGCGGTTTTAGTAACGTCCAAACAAATTAAAAAGCTTTTTTATATTTTAAAAAAAAAACTTTCAAAGGACTTAACCCAAAATACCTGGGTGGTCGTCCACATTCCCCACAGACATGTAGGCCCCCGTTATCATTTGTGCTGGGTGCGGTGGTTAGGAGAGCGGACTCTAATCTGGGACAACCGGGTTTGATTCCCCACTCCTCCACATGCAGCTGACCTTGGTCAGTCACAAGTTTTTTCAGAGCTGTTCTCTCAAGGGCAGTTCTCGAGAGAGCTCTCTCAGCCCCACTTACCTCACAGGGTGTCTGTTGTGGGGAGGGGAAGGGGAAGGAGATTGTGAGCCGCTCTGAGACTCCTTCAGGTAGTGAAGGGCGGGTTATAAATCCAGTCTCCTCCTCCTCCTGCATTTTCATCTTGCCTTTCCTCTAAGGAGCTCAGGGTAGATGGTTCTCCTCCATAGTTTTGTCCTCAGAGGAAGTGAAGTAATTTTGTCCCCACAGGAAGTGAAGTGAGTGAGAGGGCTCTTTTTGTAGCAGGTACTCATTTGCATATTAAGCGACACCCCCCTAATGTAGCCAATCCTCCAAGAGCTTACAGTAGCTCCTGTAAGAAAAGCTCTGTAAGCTCTTGGAGGATTGGCTACATTAGGGGTGTGTGGCCTAATATGCAAAGGAGTTCCTGCTACAGGGTAACCCAACAAGCTTCACAGCAGCATGGGTGTTCAAAGCCCACATTGGCTTTCAGTACGGGTCCCTCTGTGTGTTGAGGGCTCCTTTCTTCCCCTGTGGTCTGGCAGCTGGATCTGCTGGTGAGGGTGAGGTCTGGAAGCCAAGGCTCTGTTATGAGGGGGGCCCTCCCTGCCGCTTTCGTGTGACTTACGAGAGATGGAGAGACTGTTTTGCTTGTGGCCTGAGGCTTGAACTACTGAAACAAGACCCTGGAAGGGAAACAGTGCCAAAAATATAAAATAGAGTACTTTCCACATTGGCTAGATCTGTGAAGACGTTTGGGCAGTTCCCCGAAAGTGAGAAATACCCACAGACGGCTTCTCAGCAGAGAGAGTGCCAGAAGAGGAGAAGGTGCTAGAGGAGAGTGGGTTCTGGGAGGGCTCCTACTTCATCGTACATGGATGGATGGAGGAGTCCAGGGGCATGTTTCAAGCAAATGTGTTTCTCCCACCCCCCCATACATGTGACAACGATGAACCCAAAGTGGCCTTAAGAAAAGAGAAATGACATAATGTTAAGCCCCTTAGAAGAAAGGAAAGTTAACTGCCTTGTTACTCTCTATTCATTTGCATGGTCAGTAACGGCATGTTGGCGAAGGACAAGAGGCTTCAGTTTCACCAGAAGGGCCGAAGCATGAATTCTACTGGCTCTGGGAAAAGCAGTGCAACCGTTTCAAGGTAAGCAAAGAATCGATGTTCTGGGTGCATGAATCGGTCAGTGGAACTGGCGGGATTTAGCCGACTGTTCTCTTTCTTCCTAAGTAGCAGAGCAGGCCATGCTGAGGATAATTATGGGGGGTGGTCCCAAACACGGGGCCCCATGGCACCCACGGACACCTCTTCTGGTGCCTGCCAAGTCTTTTTAGAAAATGGGCGTGGTCAGGGCTTTTTTTGTAGAAAAAGCCCAGCAGGAACTCATTAGCATATTAGGCCACACCCTGATAGCACATCATATTAGCATATTAGGCCACACCCCATGTTACCAGAAGTGTGGTCATCCAGCCACACCCACCTTTTGCTTCTTATTCTATTTACTTTGTTTATTGTCAAAACCCAGGGCTTTTTTTTGTAGCAGGAACTCCTTTGCGTGTTAGGCCACACACCCCTAATGTAGCCAATCCTAATGAGTTTCTGCCGTTGGGTGTGGCCTATTATGCTAATTAGTTCCTGCTGGGTGTGGCCAACGTGGGAGCCAGCCAGAACTCTGTTCCTGTGCGTTCCTGTCCAAAAATAGCCCTGGGTGTGGTCAGCTGGAGCAACTGCCCTGCAGGAGTTCTGGTCAGTACTGGGGATCTGATTGGCAGTGAAGATTAAAATAACATTGTTTCAGCACAAGCGGCCACCACAGTGTGTGTGTTTTATTTCCTCCCTCATGTTTCCCACTGCATTTTTAAAAATTACTGTTGTGCCCACCATTCTGTGTCAGAATTCCCAAGGCGCTCACGGGTTCAAAAAGGTTGGGGATCCCTGAATTATGGGAAGTCTTGCAGTTTTGCTTCTTGACTCTCAGATGAGTTTTGACAAATGAGTTCCATATTAGAACGTACACGTTTTAAGGTTCCACCAGCCTTTGCACCCGATGAACTAAATTTCCTGCAATCCACTGACATGGCCTTTACTTGCTAGGAGGACAGGTGCTTCAGTGCAGTGAAGCACAGTTGTTCACCATCAGTCAGAGGGGAGCGGTGGATAAGCTGGGGGTTCCTTTGTTCAAGCTCTCATTTAGCTTTGAATGTGGTAGATGGCCATGTGCAGCTTGTTGCCTTTCCAGTAAAACAATGAGTTTGTGGTAAGGGTGGATGGGAGAAATGTGAAGTCTTAGATCCTCAGCAAAGGCCCACTGCAGCCTTCTTCCCCTCCCTGAGTTGTACTTCTGTGGGTTCATGGACCCAAAGAGACAGTGGGGGGAGCAAATCCCTCTATCATCTGCAGACAGCAAAAATATTCCATCAGGGGAGCCACTGCTGTCTTTGCATCCAAGCCAATGGCCCTTTTCAAATTACCATTCTAAAGTGGATGTTATTAGTTGTTGGCCCTATTTCAAGGAAAGTGATACTGGGACAGGGGTTTCATACAGCAAATTTCATTCCATTAATGAGCTGTCTCTGAAGCACTATGGTAATTTCAAAGAGTGCTGCTTCCCCCTCCCCCTGCAATCTCCTTGGACTTAAAAAAAACCCCAACGTTCTAAGGTGAGTGCTATAGCGCTAAACTGCTATAGCGCTGAACCCTTGAGATGCATTGACTCAATGGAGTCAGTGCACCTCAGTGGTGCTGCTATAGCGCCGAAGTGCTATAGCAGTTTAGCGTTATAGTGGTCACCTTAGAATATTTCATTTTTAAAGTCAGAGGAAGATCACGTGGTGAAAAAAGGCAGGGAGAAAAGAGGCACTGTAGGAAGCGCTTATGGACATTTTAAGCAGCACACTACAGTGATTCAGAAGCACAGTGAAGGGGTTGAAAATGGAAAAAAGCAGTTTCCCTCAAAAGCGGCTCAACCATGCTTTGTAAACCTGATGCAAGTGGGTTTGTAGGGACAGGTGAATAAATTCCGCTAGCAGCCGGTTACTAAAATGGGCCTGTCCTAAATGACTGAAAAAATCCATTAGCAACCAGTTACTAAAACATAATACAAGGGCAGTTTGAAAAGGGTCAAACAGTTTTGAACACTCTATCAGAAACACTATACAATACTTTTAAAATGAAATGTAGTTAAGACAGTCGTTTTCACTAACGCTAGATGGTGATATGAAGTTAAGGGCAGTTTGAAAAGGGTCAAACAGTTTTGAACACTCTAACGATCAGAAACACTATACAATACTTTTTAAATGAAATGTCGTTAAGACAGTCGTTTTCCACTAACGCTAGATGGTGATATGAAGTTATGTGCATGTGAATTTGGGGAGGGGCTGTGGCTCAGTGGCAGAGCCTTTTGCTTTGTATGCAGAAGGTCCCAGCTTCAATCCCTGGCATCTCTAGTTAAAAGGAACAGGAAGTTATCAATGTGAAAGACTTCTACCTGAGACCCTGGAGAGCTGCCGAGTGGACAATACTGACCTTGACGGACTGTTGGTCTGACTGAGCACAAGGCCGCTTCACGTGTGACATGATTTACATCCCCTGGCCAAAGGCAGTAGTGAGCATGGAATCTGCATAGACGGGACTTTTTTTGTAGAAAAAGCCCAGTGTCTTTGGACACTGGTGCTGTGTAACGTGGAATGACAGCTCTGGAACTGGGAATGAGACACCTGGGCAAACGTTGACAAAGCTCAGTTGCTACTGTGCTGTGTCTCTGTGCTGAGCTTGGAAAAAACTGGCATCTGCGTGGAATGACTGCTCCACGGTGTGTAAGGAAAGGGCAGCTGGGTTGAACTAGGGGTGGGGTGGGGGGCGAAGCACAGGACTTGTACATTGATTTAATAAGCAGGCATGTTATCTCCAAGAAGGCCTTTAATTTTGCAGCAGTGTGAAAGGTTACGTTTTTATCCTGTGGGATCTTTAAGGAGAAGTTCTCTACGCCTTTGAAAGCTTAAGCCTTCCTGGTTACAATGAGTTAATCTTTTATTTGTGAATTACTTCAATAAATCCTCTTTTATTCAAATATACCCACTCTGAAAGAAATACTTCCCAGAACCACATAGTACCTCGAACGCCTAAAACCCTCGACATACCTACCCAGAAATAGAGAAAGCATAAAGGTTTGGAAATCCTTTTAAAATTTCCTGGTGGCAGCCGGATATATAGAGTAAAACAAAACTGAAAGAACATTTTAAAGTAAACCCAGACCTCCCCAGTTAAGGGGTCGTCACATGCACGCTTAAGGTTCTCAGTCTTAAACTCCAAAATGGAGGCTTGGAGGTCAACTCAGAAGAATCCAAGATATCTTTCCCTCCCCTTTAAGTGCGGGGGACTGCCGCTCAAATCTTAAATCCAAAGACACCAGCTTCCCTGGGTTGTATACCTTGTTAATATCCTTCCATACGCATACTTGTGTTTTTTGTCTAGTGTGTCTGAACTACTGGAACTGTATGAGGAGGATCCCGAAGAGGTTCTCTACAATCTAGGGTTTGGCCGTGATGAACCAGATATTGCTTCTAAAATCCCGTCAAGGTTTTTCAGTGCAGCATCGTTTGCCAGAGGAATAGATATCAAAGTGTTCCTGAATGCCCAGTTGCAACGCATGGAAGTAGAAAATCCAAATTTTGCTTTGACAAGTAAGTAATACTATATTCAATTAAAGCATAATGAAGAGCTGCATTGCTTTTTTTTTTTAGTTTAGTTTATGTGTACCCCTGGACTTACCGGAGAGGGAGGGAAGCAGGTTAAGGCCTGGTGAAGGCAAAGGTGATGGAAACGGTCTGCACTCCCCTTGCCCTTTCCCTCTCCCTCAAGCTGCGGCTTCTGTACTTGTGAAAGTCCTCAGGCACATAGCTGGAAATATACCCGATGGGTTGGATCCTGCAGTCCATTAGTGGAAGGCACTGTGAGTTGCTGATCTTCTCAGCTTTTTCCTCCCAACAGCCACCCTTTCCAGCTATGTGATAGTTTATTCCTGGAGTTGCAGCATCCATGTGGAGTAATAGCTCTGCAGGCTGGGAGGTTGTAGGGGGAGGTGGGCAGAATTACTTGTCTGTTGCCTCTTCTGTGACCGGACCTTCACTGAGGTATGAGGAGGAAGAGAACGATTTCTCCCTACTGTGGCCTTGTGAACCATGTGATTTTTACTCCATGTGTGTCCCACAGACTGGGGGAAAGGATGGGGGGCGGGATGGGACAACAAGAAAGCTTGGAAGATTTACAGTCTCTGGGTGGTCCATGTCCTGGATCCAATGTGTGGTGGTGGGAAGTAGAGAAAAAAGCCATATACATGCGCTAAATAATGCAAAAACGATGCTATATTGTAAACAATTATATATGACATGGAAGAGAGGTCCAAAACATAAAGTTGAGTTGATGAAATTTTCTGTACTATCCAGTCGTTTCGAAGGTCTTCATCTGAACTGGACCATGCATATCAGTTGTCTCCGAGTTTCCATCCATTGTTGAATAAGAACAGCAATATATATGTTACTTCGATGTTTGTGTATGTAGCATAATTCTGCAAGCAATCAACAGTTTCTGTGTGGAGTTAAGCTTCCTTCCACCTAGATGGCCCGTCTTCAATTGTAACAAAAAGCTATGGGCTAGTAGATTACTTACACTGTGGTGGCAATGGCCATTCATTAAAAAAAATTGGCAGCAAATTCTAAAACATATCTATATAATCACGGGGAGTAACTTGCCTGGATTGTTGGAGACAATCCTTCTCTCTCAAAATTAAACTCATACCTCCTGGCGATTGCAAGAACTTTAATTGCAACAAAGAAATAGAGAGAACAGTCAGGCCCTGTACTACAAACGTGGCAAAATAAATTATGGGAACACTTTATTTTAAGTAAAATTATGTGTCAGTCAATCATTTCCCAATTTGCCTAACTACCAAAAAGCATTTCAAGTTCTTTGGTTTCCTGTAGTAGAACACTTAGCAGGAAAGGAGATAATCCCTAATAATGCACATTATTGAGACTTGGTATTATTTCAGAATTTAAAGTTTGACAGTGTTTAAATCATTATATCGTAACGCGCGAGAGTTGTTTAACATTTTGAAAGAATAAGGTGGAATGTTCTGTATGTGTGCAATGGAAGAAAATAATTTTAGAAACTGTCAAAAAAAGGTCACAGCTGATTTATGGAGACCTCGGAGGCTTTTCGAGGGAAGAGACGTTCAGAGGTGGTTTGCCCTTGCCTGCCTCTACATCATGACCCTGGTATTCCTTGGAGGTCTCCCATCCAAATACTGACCAGGGCCGACCCTGCTTCGCTTCCAAGATCTGATGAGATCGGGCTATCCTGGGCTATCCAGGTCAATGTATACTTTCTTTCACAAGGCAGTTCCTCAGTGCCAGTGGAGTGTATCGTGTGTGAGTGTTGCCTGTAGCAATGATCTAAAAAGGAGAAAAAGGTGTGAAATCCTGTCCGGCGTATCAGTTTGAGAACACAGCTTTCCTTAAAACGGAAGGACTCTTCTCCTTCAAAGTCGAAACTTGTGATTTAACCAGATGTCAGAAACTTGAAGCTGTGAACGTGATTTTCGCCACGTTATCTCAGTGTGAGAAACTCCGCTCTTCTTTTGTGTGTGTGCTCTTTCCCCTTGGCAAGTCCCGAGACATTTGTAGCTTCGTTGGCCGAGTCTGACAATGCCATCCATTGTTCTGTTTGTCATCTGTTTTGTCCCCCTGCCAGGCCGCTTTCGTCAGATTGAAGTGCTCACTACTGTGGCCAATGCGTTCTCTTCCTTATATTCGCAAGTGTCTGGCACCCCATTGCAGAAAATCGGGAGCATGAACTCAACAGCTTCCATCAAAGAGGCAGCCAGCCCGCCGCCTCTAAACCGGAGCAACACCGCGAGCCGCCTGATGAAGACCCTGTCTAAGCTCAACCTCTGTGGTAACCAGCAGGCAGGGGAAGCGGGCGGCTGTTCGACGCCTTCGCCGGTTGAAAAGGAGAAATCTGAGAACGGACAGCTCGAGGATGCCGATGCTAAAAACGAACCCAAAACACCAAAGCACTTCAAAGCATCTTCGCTGGCTACGGTCAAAGAGGAAGCACCCAGCAATCAGCCGAGCACTGTGGATGTTCTTCCGGCTTCTGAACTTCCTTCTGGAGCTAATGTTGCACAAGGAAAGCAGGAGGACCACACGTCTTGTGAAGGGGAGCAAAATACGGACTCCCTTGGTCATTCAGATGGCCCCAGTGAGCGAGCTGCTGTCACGGACTCATCCGGTCTTGCAAGTGAAGTACCGGGCTCAGCCACTTGCGGCCTTGAGGGTGACTCTGAGCTCCCTGCATCACCACCGGATAAGGAAGCCTGTGCTCCAGTGGTAAACCCTTCCATCGTCAGTCTCATGCTGCAGCAGAAGGATTCCTTTGAGATGGAAGAGGTAAGTGGAAAGCAAGGTGCATTGCAATGCTCACATTCTCCGTGGTGTTGTGCGTTAACATTGGAAATGGAGCTTTAGACCTATAGGGGCAACCAAGTGATGTTTTGTTTCTTTGTACTTATTGAAACATTTAAAGTTCACTTTCCTTCTACATCGAAGTGGGACTCAGGACAGGTAATAACAGTAACTAGTTTTATCGTTTTTTTTACTTTGCTAACAAAGCTAACATAACGCACTTTCGTAACTGTAACATTTTGCTCTTTCCTGAGACCCCTTAGATGTCACACCTGTGAAGGCACTGCTCTGTAGTGTTCTGAGGTGACGTGTTATGCTGCCTCCTTAGTGTTCCTACTTATGTTCACTGCCACCAAATGCATGTGCCCAGGGCTCTTTTTGTAGAAAAAGCCCAGCAGGAACTCATTAGCATATTAGGCCACACCCCTGTCAGCACAGCTCATTGGCATGTTAGGCCACACCCACATGTTACCAGAAGTGTGCTCATCCAGCCACACCCACCTTTTGCTTCTTATTCTGTTTACCTTGTTTATTGTCCAAACCCAGGGCTTTTTTGTAGCAGGAACTCCTTTGCATGTTAGGCCACACACCCCTAATGTAGCCAATCCTAATGAGTTTCTGCTGTTGGGTGTGGCCTATTATGCTAATATGTTCCTGCTGGGTGTGGCCAACTTGGAAGCCAGCCGGAACTCCGTTCCTGTGCCTTCCTGCCCAAAAATAGCCCTGTGTGTGCCTTAGAATTCTTAGCTGTACCCAATGAAGAAGAAGGGTAGGTTTTATACCCTGGCCTTCACTACGTGAAGGAGTCTCGGAGCGGCTTACAATCACCTTCCCCTTTCTCTCCCCACAGCAGACACCCTGTGAGGTATGTGGGGCTGAGAGAGCTCTGAGAGAGCTGTGACTGGCCCAAGGTCATCCAGCTGGCTACATGTGGAGGAGTGGGGAATCAAACCCAGTTCTCCATATTAGGGTCCTGCTGCTCTTAACCGCTACACCAAACTGAACAGGTTAGCTTAGTTATATTTGGTAGAATGCTAGAACAGTCAGCACGCGGTAGGGCTCTGAGGTAAAAGGGGGTCCTTTGTTCTCAATAAAACAGTATAGTGGTTTCAGTAAAATCTGTAAGTGCAATGGTTTCAAATAGATACAGTTCTTCTTTCTGTGAAGTTCTTCTTTCTTCTTCTTTCTGTGAAGTTCCTTAAATAGACATAGCCACAAAGGTTTTTCCCCCCCTCACATGCCACTTAGGCTAATAGCCTCCAGAAAGAATGCGGATTTCCCTCACAGCACCTCAGTCTCCACCCACTCAGCTCTTCCCCCCCCCCCACACACACACTCTGAACAAGTTCTCTCTACAAAACCAAGTCACCTCCGTCCCCAGGGTATAGCAGCCATCCAACAGCAACACACATTAAATCATAGAAATAAAGTACACAAAAATATTTACATAGCAAAACACCACAATAGCTCAAAGTTTGAGCCCAGCGGCACCTTTCAGACCAACAAAGTTTTATTCTGGGAATAAATAAGCTTTCATGTGCCATGCACACGTCTTTCAGATGCCCACGAAAGCTCATACCCAGAATTAAACTTTGTTGGTCTTAAGGGTGCCAGTGGACTCAAACTTTGTTCTGTTGCTTCAGACCAACATTGCTACCCACTTGAACCACAGTAGGTATAATTGTGCCCCCCCCCACATCATGGAACTTGTGGCCCTTGATTCTCAGGTTCTCAGGAGGTCTTTGTCGTCCCCCCCCCCCCATTTAGACACTGATCAGATTCAGATCTGCTTAGCTTCAGCAAGACTGTCGCATGACTTGGTCATACCATGAGCTGCTTTACTATATAGTTTGGTCTATGGAAGCCTCACAGCACCAGTTGGTCTCTTGTAGTGTGATTTAGGGGATCGGGAGTGGGTTGCAGGATCTTATACTCCCTCCTCCTAATAATAATAATGATAATATACTTTATTGTCATTGTACATAGTACAACGAAATTAAAAATGCAATCATTTCCTGCCCCTGCACTTCCCGTCTCTTTTCTGTGGATCCCCCTATTCCCACTTTTAAACACAGTTAAGGGTGATGTTAGCACTGACCTGAAGTTAAGGCTGAGGAGGATTCTCTTTAAACTCGTGGGTCAAACCAAGATTGGAAGTTGGTTTAAATTCCTAATTGTTGGTCCTTGGGAACTGAGGCCTTATCTAATTTTAGTGTTTGATTTAATGCTTATTTGTGGTTTTCATTGGTGACAGAGAATTCCCAACTGAGAGAAGGCTTGGGGGGGGGGGAAGAAGGCTGAGGGGAGAAAGCAGTGTCCCAAGGTTCAGTGCACGGCATCTGTAGTTAAATGGGTCTGGGGGAACGGTTTCTGCCTGTAACCTTAGGTCACCACTGCCAGTTGGTGCAGAATGTAATGGGCTACGCGTGTGTTCGTGTCCTGTAATTCCTGGAGGATTTTATCCACATCTCAGGCTGTTTGTTTTAACCCGAAGAAGCCAGCAGGTACTGACTACTTTAGCCCCCTTGTGTCCCATATCTTGAGAGTTCCAACCATGTGGCAACTTTTGACATTTGTGGCACTGATGTGAGGATGTTTAATCAGTGGTTACCTTTATAATAATGGATTCCCACCCACCCAC